TTATAAAAAGCCCTGAATCGAATGATTTAGATTTAAAAAGGAACATCTAGCCCACTCTCTCATGCAGCATAGATTTCCTTTCTGTTGTATGCCTGACAAATAAGCTTCTGCTTAAGTAGTTCTAGTGCCTGTAACCCAGTACATCCTCGTGGGCCCTAATGTTAGAGGTCTGTAGAGCAGCAATACATGAAATTTAATCCTAGGATCAGTAGCATCAGCCCAAACTGGGATTTTGTTAGAAATTAAAAATCCCAAGCTGTATGCCAGACCTGAATCAGAATCTACATTTAACAGGCTTTCCCAATAATTTATATGCATATTGTAGTTTGAGAAGTATTGCTCTAGAGTTTTTTTGTTTCTTTGTTTTTAGTATTGATTTGAAAGCTTAGTTTTATACTATCCACTTATTAGTCTCAATTTAGTTTCTTGCAACTTTACGTGAGTCTAGTCTCTAAATTATTCCACATGGGAACTGTTCAAATCTTTGAGGCAGAATCCAGGTTGTTTGTTGGCTGGACTCTTTCTAAATTGTGCAAGGCTGGAAACTTTCCTGTCCTGAGCTTTCCCATGGTCCCTTTGTTCTGTAGAATTGTTTCAACAAGAATATCAGAGCCTGCAACTGAAGGATTTATGAAAGCAAAGGCAGTCTACCTCATCCTTTTGCCTGTGGAATGGAAATGAACAAGAAAGAACAATTGAGCTGATTGTTTATACATTCAATCCTTAGGGCATATAAACAGGATGCAACCACTTATCTCGCCCTTATTGATTGTTTCCTATAGATTGTGGCATTTTCCTAAATTTTGTATCTTCTTAGGGATAGTTCTTCAAACTCAGTGTTCTTTTTTTCTAAACTAAAAACACCCTGTTCGTTCAACTGCCTCTTGCATGGCTGGATTGAAATGTAAACTTTTTGAGAGAAGGGGATGAAGGCTTACTCGTGTTTTGTTTGTTTGTTTGTTTTTAATTTCAGGTTAAATCACTGCTTAGCACATAATATGCTTTTAATAAGTAATCTTTGGATACACAAACGAATTAATGAGCGGGGGAATGTGGCTGCAAGACCTTGGTTGTCATCTTTACAAAACACATTAATGTGTCACTTTCTCTGACAAGATGTGGCATCATGGATTGGACAGAATACTCCACATGTTGCATGACTATCTGAGAACAGTGGTATTATTAATTCCCCTAATTTAGAATTGATGCTGAGATGAGCTCAGCCTGATCATGACAAAAGAGACTATGACTGCCATCATTATGGTGGTTTGGGTTTAGAAAGCCAAAATATACATCTACAAAGTTGATTCAACTTATCAACAAGATGGAATTTGCTTTATATGACATTTTTAGAGTTCTTTCCTATTGGACCCGTGGGGCTTTCCAACGTTAGGAAGGCTAACTGCAGAGGTCTTTTTCTCCTTCTCCCTTCCATCACTCTTTGCTTCCTCGTTCCTCTAACTGTATCTGAAGCTACTTCCCTCATCTGAAATCACTTTTTGTCTCAGTATCACTATGAAAAAGACTATGAATAGAGTAGTAAATGCAGAGTAGATGGATAAACATAATGATCCAAGAAAGATGATAGTGAAATATGACATTTGCTGGTGTTGGATATAATAACCGGTAGAAACAGAGGAATGGGAAAAACAGACTGGCTCCTTTGCCATGGCAACGATGAGTGCATTTATTATATAAACAGAAGGAGGAAAGGCAATTATTCGGTCCCTGTGCTTTTCTCTCCTAATCCTCCAGTTCTCCTGTTTTTAGTTTAGATCCTCAGAAGATGGTAGCCAGTTATCTTGCAATGACATTGATCATTTCCTTCAATGCCTGAGATGTGCAGGAATACACTTGACTTCCCAATATTTTATTATTAAAAATAAATACATCAAGGATTTCTTTAAAAGCTCATCAAAGGATAGCTTGTGTTCTGTTTCATCAAGCATTGAAGCATGCCCTCTTTAAAAGTTTGTATCTTTATTTTGATACAATAAACTTATAAACAGGAATCAAGGTACCATTTTCTTTCCAATTCAGTATCATTAGAACATTGTCTGATTCATTCATGTATGTCTCAGGGATAAATGGTCATCAGTGAGTGTCTGACAGGGAAACACTAAGTGATTCTAGTTTAAAAGGAAAATCAATGTGCACTGAGTAGCAGTGCTTCAAAGATAGTTCAAAAAGGTACTTTTCAAAGGTATTATGTCAAAATGCACCTGGCGTCCCAGGTACTGGTGGGAAAAGGAAAGTTATTAAATGCTTATGATAGTGAAACAGTGTGTTTTAGGAGCTAGGAAATATGGGAAAATAGATGGCAAACGATATACAATCCACACAGTGAGTTTCCCAAAGAGAATGGCTGTGTTTTCACAATATTCTTCCCATTTTTTTTTAACGTTTATTTATTTTTGAGACAGAGAGAGACAGAGCATGAATGGGGGAGGGTAAGAGAGAGGGAGACACAGAATCTGAAACAGGCTCCAGGCTCTGAGCTGTCAGCACAGAGCCCGACGTGGGGCTCGAACTCACGGACCGTGAGATCATGACCTGAGCCGAAGTCGGCCGCTTAACCGACTGAGCCACCCAGGCGCCCCATTCTTTCCTTTTTGAAGGAGGTGTTGCCAAATTGAAGTGTGCAGAGTGTCATTTAATATACTTTCCAAATAGTATCTAGAATTTGCAACATGAACTGTAGGATAGGTAAGTTGATGAGGCAAGAGTCCTAAAAATAAACCAGATTTCTGGGTACAAATATTAGCCCCAGTATTTATTAGTTTTGTGTGACTTCGGATAAGATACCTAATGTCTCTGAGTCATAGTTTCCACAAATGTACAATCAGGACAGTAAGTCCTACCAGAGAGAGGAATTGTCAGATGTAGCAATTAACCTATATAATGCAGCCAGCTGACACCTGGTATATGATAGGGCTTCAAAAATAGGAACTATATTTCCATTCTCATTGTCACTTTAGTTCAGATCTTGGGAATGTCTCTTCCGGGCATTCTAGTAGCTTCCAGTTTTCCTTGTCTATAGTCCTCTCATTTGTCCATTTTGCTTACTCATTAATATTTATATACCATTTTCCATACAATCTTCTTTAACTTATACTTAATATTGTACCATGTCCCAATTTCCAGAGTAGAGTTCATACTTCTTAGCATAGCATTTAAGGACATCTGTGATCTGACTCCAAATAACATCTCCTTTATAAAGACCTTGTGTACTATTGTCCATTTCCTCTTCATGTCTTGAATTTTTTTCTCTCCATAATTTTACTCACTTCCCCCCTCTAACTACAACACTTTCCATTTTTACATATTGGAATCCTATTTATGCTTTAAATTCCAGCTTCAATGCCATACCATCCATGAAATTTTCCTTAATCCTTTAGCCAGAAGTGATCTCTCTACTGAAACTGCTTAACAATTCTTTATATTAATGGTAAATGCCTATGCACTTGCATAATGCTAAGCTCAACAGATACTTACAATTTGGATATTATGTAACCTGTCTAGAGTAGTTGACAATACAAACAACTCCCCATCCATTTTCTTCTTTTGACTTCCAAAAGCTGGGTTTCTTACTTCCTCTCTGGCTTCCCCTTCTCAGTCTTCTCGGTGGGTGTATTAGTTTCCTAGAAGTTGCCGTGAAAATGTACCACAAACTGGATGGCTTAAAACAACTTACATTTATTATTTCCCAGTTCTGGCTTCTAGAAGTCAAAATCAAGATGTTGGCAGGTCCATGTTCCATCTGAAGTCTCTAGGGGAGGATCTTTCTTGACTCTTCCAGCTTCTGGGAGCCCCACGCTTTCCTTGGCTTATACCAACATAGCTCCAGTCTCGGACTGAATCTTCACATCTTCTCTGTCTGCAACATTCTTTTCCTGTGTCTCTACTTTCTCTTCTTATAAGGGCCCCAGTCATACTGGATTAAGGCCTATCCTAGTTGAGAATGACCACATATTAATTTGATTATATCTGCAAATACTCTATTTTCAAATAAGGTCACATGTACAAGTATTAGGTGTTAAGACATAGCTTTCTGGGAAAAACAATTTTACTGATAACAATGGGGTTCCCATCTTTTACCTCTTTTTAAAGTATTAGGGCTCTTCAGAGTGATTTCCTAGGCTTCTCTCAGCAGTAATTTAAATAATGACAAAAACTAAAAGAAGTTTTTAGCACCCAATATGGTGACTCTCAAAACCCAAGAATCCAAGTAGGATGCTCAAGATATAGTCTTCTGATGTATTTTCCTAGACTACAGCTACTTTCCCTTAGCTTTTCCTTTCAAAGCACATTTACGATGGATTCTTTAAAAAAAATTCAATGAGTGTTATTTTTAAAAAAGAGAAGAAGAGAATTTAATAAGTCAACATTGAAAATGTGAAAGTTATATGAGATAGATATGCACTGGTCCTCACCTTTTTTTCCTTCACGTAGAAAACAAGAAATGATTCCCCACTGGGAGCATAGTTGTTATGGACTACTGAATTTTTTTCTCCTCCAACATTTGTATGTTGAAGTCCTAACCTCCAATACCTCAGAATCTGATTGTGTTTGGAGATAGGGCCTTCAAAGAGGTGATTAAGTTGAAATGAGACCATTAGGGTGGACCACAATCTAATCTGACTGGTGTCCTTATAAGAAGAAATTTGTACACATTCAGAGACACCACCCAGAATGTTAGTACAGAAAAGATTAGAGAGATGAAGGCGGGGTTTGATAAGGAGGGGAGGGAGAGAAGGAGAGAAGAGGAAAAGAAGAAAGAAGAATGGAAGAAAGACCAATTTGTTGGTATCATTTGTGTCGTGCTGAGATTCGACTACCCCTGCACATTTCAACTACATAAGCGAATAGATACCACCCCTTCTCCCCACACCCTTTTTCTCCTTATGCTGATTTGGGATTCTGTTAACTTGAATGCAAAGCATCTGACTAACCCATCCTTCTTACCCGTTTTGGTTCTTTTGTTTACATCTTCTATTGAGGTGGCATTTCAGAGGACATCTTTAGCAGTATGGACATTTATCTGACCTCTCACAAAGGTAAGTCGGTGGAAAGGTATAGTTCCAAGATTTATCACCAGATTTACCTGTGACTTATCCACCACAAAAATTACTGACTGCTCTTTGTATGATCAGTATCTTGAGTTATGAGTAGCCTTGAGGAGGAGAATGCCCTGAAACTCTCTTTTTGCAGCCCTCATGGGTAGACACTCATCCTATCCCTAACTGACGCTTTTCTCAAACCTTTCGGAATAGAGCATCAGCCCCTAAACTTTATTGCACATTGAAATCATCTGGGAAGCTCTTAAAAATCCCTAAGTCAGACATCTGCTTTGCAAGAAAGTTTGGCAGTTTCTTATAAAGCTAAATATAATCTATCATATGATCCAGAAATTCCTAAGTGTTTACCCTGTTGATTTGAAAACTTATATCCACACAAAGCCTCCATGTAAAATTTATAGCAGCTTTACTCATAATCAACACAATCTGGAAACAACCAGATATCCTCCAGTAGGTGAATGGATAAACAAATTGTGGCACATACATATAGTGAAATACTATTTAGTAATAAAAAAGAATAAGTTATCAAGCCATTCAAGATACAGGTGAGTGATAAACGCATATGTGAAAGTAGGCAGTCTAAAAAGGCTATATACTGTATGAGTTTATAGCACATTCTTGAAAGGCAAAACTATAAAGACAATGAATGGATTAGTCATTTTTGAAGTTTAGGGAGGGGGAAGGTTGAATAGGTGAAGTATCCATGAGCATAATGGTGGTGATAACTTTCTGTGTGATACCGTAATGTTGGGTACCTGATACTATGCATTTGTCAAAACCCATAGATCTCTGCAACACAAAGAGTGAACCTTAATGTATGTAAATTAAAAAAAAAAAATCATTTGGGAGGTCAAGGGATCCCAGGATGGAATATAGAATATGACAAAACAATCTAAATATGTTACAAATGTATGAACAAAACCTCACTGCCAGGATTAGAGGACAAGTACATTGACCTAAATAGCCTTGGAAATGAGTGGCAGCAACTAGAAGCCCAGAGGAAAAAGGAATTGTACATAAGCACTCTAGTCTGGTTGATGAAGTTTCCCATGGGGGAATGGACTAGCAGTTCTGAAACCAATATACACGTATACCAGAATTAAACAATTAAGTAAATGGATATCAGGAGCCTACAGGTAGGCAAGAGGAGAGGCAGGAATGATCCTCTTGGTTCTTGATAAGAGTTAGAGATATTAGTATGAATTCTATGGTATAGGTGTTTATATATAGAAATATTTATAGATATGTATCTATATGGGGATTAGCTATATGCACACATATCTTTTTGGTCTGTCAGATGAAAGGGCTTAGAAACAAGGACACATACATACCCATATGTTTATATCTAATACTATTGTACAATGAAAGGAACCAGGAATCCTTGGATAAACGGCTGACTATAGAGGAAATACACAAGATGAGCCTGGAGCATCTTATGGTGCCAGAAAGTGTGGAAGTTCCAAAAAAAAAAAAAAAAAAAAAAAAAAAAAAAAAAAAGAAAGAAAACCAAACAAAGGAAAACAAACAAGAGCCAGTGAAAGGAGTTCCTAATGACCAAAAATGGAGCAATGTGAACAAACAAAATAAATAAAATGGCACTGGATTCTAATCCAGAATATAAATAAATATCTATGAATCTATATTGATACAAATAAATGCTTAAATCAATAAATAATCGTGGCAGAAATAGATCAATTTCCCATGCAGAACTCCAAATAATTTATGTAAATCCTTTGTCCTCAAGGAGGAGGAGCCTGGGGTGCCTGGGTGACTCAGTCGGTTAAGCGGTTCAGGAAATGATCTTGTGGTTCATGAGTATGAGCCCTGTGTTGGGCCCTGTGCTAACAGCTCAGAGCCTTGAGCCTGCTTCGGATTCTGTGTCTCCCTCCCTTTTTGCTCCTCCCCTGCTCATTCTCTGTCTCTCAAAAATAAATAAACATTAAAATTTTTTTTTCAAGGAGGAGGAGCCTACTTCCCACTTCTGAAGTGTGGGCTGTGCATGTGATTTTCTCCCAGAATACAGGGTGGAAAGGAAAACAAACAAGTACTTTTACAGCAGAGAAGCCTGGTAAATAAACACTGTGTCTCTCAGGTGATCAAGGTCAACATTAACAGTGATAAATCATATTGATAGTATGTACTCTTGACATGATGTGATGAGAGTAACACTTTCCCTCTGTGGTCTTCCTCCCTATATAACATAGAAGCATAGTCTCATCATCAGAAAAACATTAGACAGACCCAAACTGAGAGATGTCATACAATATACCTGACCAGTACTCCTCAGTACTATAAGGCCATCCAAAACAGGAAAATTCTGGGAAATGATCCCAGCCAAGAGCCCAAGGAGACATGCTAAAATGTATTGTGCTATCCTGGGTGGGATCCAGGAACAGAAAAAGAGCATAAGGTGACTAATGGAAATCTGAATAAAGTATAGGTGTTAGTTTAAAATTATGTATCAGTGTTTCAAGATTGAGTCATTGACTGTGATCAATACACCATACTAAAGTGAGATGTTAATTATAGGGGAGATCAAGTATGACATATATGGAAACTCTACTATCTTTTTATTTTTAAAAATTTTTTAATGTTTATTTTTGAGAGAAGGAGAGAAAGAGAGAGAGAGAGAGAGAGAGAGAGAGAGAGACAGAACATGAGCAGGGGAGGGGCAGAGAGAGAGGGAGACTCAATGTCAGCAGGGAGCCTAATGTGGGGCTCAGACTCATGAACCCTGAGATTATGACCTGAGCCAAAGTTGGACGCTTAATCTAATGAGCCACCCAGATGCCCTGGGAACTCTATCTTTACGGCTTTTCTTTAAATCTAAAATTCCTAAAATAAAAACTTTTAAAAAATATCCTTTGCAAAGTTTTACCTCTACCAATTAAATCAGTATTTCTGGGGTGTAAGCCAGGCATCAGTATTTTTTTTTTTTTTAAGATCCCAGATGATATCAACGTGCGGCAAAAGTTTGGGAAACTCTCTGGTAGGAAAAGTCTCTGAGGCCGGAGGCTATTATATTTTGGCATTAATTCACTCAAAATGTTCTGAACTAAATAAAAATGTCAAGTGTTGCTTCTATTTTATAGCTTTGTGAAGTTGAATTTTTAATGAGTGTGATAAAAATAAAGTACTAGAACAAGTTGCCCATTTGAACACCACTTGACGTTACACTATTAGATACTGAGCCACTAAATGACCAGTGTATCAAGCATATAATTACAAGTAATATTATATCTTAAAATAAAATTTCTCTTGTAATTTTCCTGCAATTGAAGTGAAAAATGACATTCACATGTACACACTTTGCTCTGCCTGGTCCCTGGCCCCTCCACCAGAGAATGTCTATATGCTCTAGTGGACCCACAGCCCCATCCATATTTCACCCTTTTTGATCTGTTCCGTGCCCCTAGAGGCTGTCTGTGGACTGCAACACCCAGGGCCCCTTGCCCTTGATTTCCAGTTGAGTTCAGGCAGGATGGAGGAGATAGATGTGGTCTCTTTAGCTTCACTCTCTCCATTCTTCATCATGGCAGGCCATGGCTGCCTTTGTCCCAGATCCAGCTCCTGTTGTCTCCCGCTCTCACTTGGCTCCAGAAACACTGTTCCCTTTCCCCACCCCTTCAGGCCCCAGAGAAATAATGGCTTCCTGCTGTGGCTATTTCTGGGTAACTCATATCCCCTGTTGGAATTTTTAAAATTTTGCCCACACCTCTGTAAATAGTCACTTGACTGAAGTACTTTTCATTTAACCCCTCTAAGGGTGCCATGTGCTTCTTGTCAGAATTCTGAGTGATACAATCAGTGTATTGTTGTCTACTCTTTCTTCTTGGGAATGATGACCGCCTCCCCCCACTTTTTTTAACTTGACATAATATACTGCTTACTTCTTTGGCCTTAAAAATGCTCTTTATTTTGTAAAATGATACTGATAGTAGAGAGCATTATTTTCCCTAAATCCTTTCTTGGCAAAAGAAAAAGTTGGCAAGCCTGTGCTGGTTCACCACACATTTTTGAAATTTCATTTGTGAAATTTCATTTTTGAAATCCAGAGCCTGGGAACCATTGATCTAAGTGAGTGTTTGACTTTGAAACATGAAGGGAATTCAGCTGTATTTCATCTTACCACAAGAATCTTACAAATCTGGGGCAAGTGGCCAATGTGAACGATGTCAAGGCAGGCACTCAAGTTTAGTTGTTTACATAACAGGGTCTCAATCCTGGTAAAGAGGGAAATAGTATCAGGGGAAAATAGAAGGAGGTTTAAAAGCCAAAATGGTTGTTTTCTGCATGTTTCGGTATTGCATTTCACTGTCCCTCCAACGGGGGAAGCAAGAGAGGAGAGGGTAAGAGCGCACCTGGAAGTTTAAACAAGACGTTTACAGGACTTTTCCATGAAGTTTGAGTGACTAAGAACTTTTATGTTCACAGATCCAGAAACGTTTGTATTTGCGCTAATCCATGTCCTTTTTATTATAAATAATTGCAGAAGCTCATTTATAGATGACTCCATCACTAAGCAACGGGCTTTGGATGTTTGTATTTGTTGGTGTTTTAAATTCAATGTGTTTCATAATGTCAAGTACAGCCAATTTGTAATCGAAACAAAATTTCCAAAGTACCCAACGTTTGGGCAGGGTAGAAGAACATAGGGCGTTATTTATCGTAGTTCAGTCTCCTTGACTTTAAAATTCTTCTTTGTTGGGAATGTAATATCCTCTTTTGTTGTGTCATATCACATTTAATTTTGACTGCAGAGACATTAACACATGACTTTTTTAGCTTTTGTCTGTTTAAAAATATATTTTTTGTTTATGTTCTCATTACTTCTTTTCTCTGTGTTTAGCTTGAGAAAAAGACACAAAGTAGTCTTTTGAAATTCATTCTTTCCTTTATGCACTTTTAAGAAGGAATTTAAAAGGGACAGATAGCTTAGTCATAGACAGAATTTTTTTTATGCAGATATAATCCAAACAGAAGCTACTGTCCATATTTCATGGAAGAAGAATTGGCGAACCCAATAATTTTCTTTCTCTTTACATTTCTACTACTGAAACAAATTAATAGAGACTTTAAACACTGACTTATTTCTTCTTTTATCTGATAGTAGAACCCACTGATGAAAAACTGGGGAACGATCAGTAGCCATGTTTCCCACCTCGGGGAGAGACATAGTAAAAAGGAATGAAACCCACTCATACTGAGCAGCAGAGAGAAGAGATGGAGAAGGCTAATGGTAGTGTTAGAATTCATGAAGACCAGCTACGTGTCTGCTCTTCTGGTTGTTTAGTTGCTCAACTCTTCCTGATTCCATGAAATAAAAATGCCCATTCTTGGCTAAGCTATTATATTGAGTCAGCCATGCATAACTTGAATTAGCTTAAGCAAAAGGAGGGAATTAAGGAAAGATCTTGAGGCAGAGTTGATCAACTAAGCTTCATGAAGGCAGGAGAAAGCTCTCTGGGAGGGACTCAGAGCCGTGGTCCAAGAGGTGAGTACCATCAGGATTCACTTTTCCCTCATGTGACCCCTGCCCCTCTTCTTCCTGGACATCATGCTCTCTGTGGAGGAATGTTTTGATATATTACTTGCTATGTTTTTCCCCAGTACTCTTCGTTTATTTTCCCTATAACACTCTTTCATCGTGGGCATTTTTTTGTGTCCATTGCCACAGGAGATGTGATAATAGACTGTGTCTTGAGTCTCAGAAACACAGACTGGGAGTGAATTCAGACTCTGAAGACTAAGAGAAGTATCCTAAATTAGGGGAAAAGAAGAAAGCCAAGGGTGAAACAAAGAGAGCTAAGTTGGTACACCGTTGAGAAAGAGGCCCTGCATACTGTTAATGAATCCTTCACTAATCAACACCCTGTGAGTGTCTATGTTGTTTGGTGTCTTAAACTGAATGTGTTTTATAATATCAATTACAGCCAATCTATAGTTGAAACAAATTTTTGAAGTATCCTATGAAGTTTATATCTGAGGGCTGAGCTCGATGGGGGAGCAACAGACACTCTCAATGTGTGGGGGAAAACTAAGAGTGGAGAGGATCCAGAGTAGAAAGAGTGGTTGCCCTTTATCCTAAATAGAAGTAGGGATGGAGAGAAGACCCTAATGGCTTGGCAACTGGGGATAGCATGGGGCAGCATGTCTGTGCAATGAAGGCAGTCAAATCTGAAGTAGCCTTGCAGAGTTCCGACTTGACTCACTGAGGTGTAGGGACAGTAGCTTCATTCCTGAGAATAGCATGGGCGTGCTTAGAAAGCCTTGCCAAGGTGGCCGTAGCCCAGGTAGTGGTTGGAGAATATTTCTCGATTCACTTCAGAAAGGCACTAGGGGAAAGCAGGGAGAGTCATTGATCCTGAAGTGACCTTTGGCATGGACCCATGTAGATCAACATCTGAAAAACAGACAGGATGAGGAGTCCCATGTGAAATTCAATACCTGACCAAGGATCAGAGCTTTTGCTTATATTGGGCCCAGCTGATGTTTCTCTTACTGTCTCCTGCTTAGAAGTTAGAAGAGAAGTTAAGGGAAAAAAGAGGAACCTGAACTCATTGAGGTTTGGTTTCTATCCATTGGTACAACAGGATATCACTGGAGAAATGGAGTTCAGTTGCATACAAAAATTGTCACATTTGCTGAACACCTGCTTGCGTGGCCTGATTTTCAAATTATGTCTTCTCCCCCAGGCTGAGATCTTCCATGTGGCAGAGAACCTGGCTGCTGGAAGCTGCCGCTCACAGCCACACTTATTCACCACCATAGGAGGGGAAAATGCTGCTGAACCCTTTGACGCCCACCCCTTGATCCTCCCGACCCAGCTTCTGTTTGAAAAGCTTCAGAGATCAGTGTTCACTACCCTTCTATTGGTGTTCCCACCCCATAGAACTGTGATATACTATGACAAATCCTCCTTGGGTTTAAGTCCCTATGGACCTTAATGGAAAGTGGCCAGTATTTCTGATAGCCTCGGTGATTGGCACACACATACTATAAATGAATTTTCACATAGCACAAAGCCATGTGCAAGGTGGCCTCTGAAGCCAGGATGCTGTAGCAGATCCATGCGCTTGGAATCCGAGGGGCAGCAGTTCGCCACCAAAGGAAATACTGTGACCAGAAGAAGAGAAAAGGGGGAGCTGGCTGGGAAAATAGTAAGTCTCCCCCACAGTCTGTACTGGGTAGGTATCTAGTAGGACCACACTAATAAAGGCTTCCTGGGGATGCCTGGGTGGCTTAGTCAGTTGAGTGTCCGACTCTTGATTTTGGCTCAGGTCATGATCCTCGGCCATGGGATTGAGTCCTGCATTGGGCTCTGCACTGAGCTTGGAGCCTGCTTGTGATTCTCACTCTCCCTCTCTCTGCCCTGCTCCCCCCACTTCTCTAAAATTTAAAAAAGAAAAAAATTAAGGTTTCTTAATATCACATCGATATGATGAAGGTAAGTAAAATAATTAATAAGATACTGTGTCTTTTATGACCCATTGGTTCAGAACTAGAAACTGGGCTCTGAAACAGAATACAACAAAACAACAGTGACAACAAAAACACTTAGCCTTTTCATTGTAAACGTGTGTAAACTCTGTAGCAGTTCAACGATGAGATTTGGCTTATAGGCCATGAATGGGCCTGGTGGTTTTTGCGCTCAAATCTCATTATATGCCTGCAGAGAACAAAGTGCTTTGTGCTATGTGAAAATTAGTTTATAGTATGTGTGTACCAATCATCAGGATTATCAGAAATACTGGCCACTTTTCTTTAAGGTCCGTAGGGACTTAAATCTGAAATGCATTTCTATGAAAACTTCATTTCACTGCATAATTCTGAAATGATTCTAGCCAACTGTTTATTCATAGCAGCCTTTTCAGGCAATAGTCTAGGAGTAATTTCTCTGCATGTCTTCTTCTCCTTGTCCTTCTTCTTCTTTTTTCTAAATAGGCTCCACACCCAGTGCAGAGCCCAACATGGGGCTTGACTTCACAAACCTAAGGTCAAGACCTGAGCTGAGATCAAGAGTCAGATGCTTCACTGACTGAGCTAGCCAGGTGCGCCACAACATTTATTTTCTTAACTTGAGTTCTTATTATATTCTTTCAAATGCAAGGAAATAATAATTACTTTGGCTTAAGTATAAAGTCTGGAGAATTTTGTAATCTCTTTTACACCTGGTACCATTTCTGATAAGGAGGTAAATAGATGATAAATATATGAATATAACACTGTGTATCCTGACAAAAATACTGACAATGCAAAAAAATAAATTCCTTGAAGAAAAGTCCTATTTTAGTCCAAGCTCTGGTACTAATTTTAACCTTGGAGTTAAGTAATTTGTATCCTTGGTACTAAATTGTAAGCAAACAATCCAATTAACTTGCCTTTCAACTCAAAACAGTTTTTTGATCACAGCTGAAATAGCTACTATGAATTTCCTTGCTGTTATGTAGCTTTTTAGGCATTCAGGATAATAACATTTCCTCCACATTGGAGCCAGTAGCATCCAAGGACAAGAAAAAGTGTTCCAACAGATTAGGAGCCTAAATGAGTTACAAACTGGGGCGACTGCCCAGTGAGCAACAGCCAACAGTAACTGGGCTGCCCTGGGCTTTAAGGTGTATTTGAAAGGATCTAGATCTTGGGAGTCATTTCCAAAGAACATGTAATCTCACACAGATATTTTCAAGTAGCTTTCTTTTGGGGGGGGACTATAAAGTAACATGATTATTCTGGATCACTCGGAAAGGTAAAAATTAATGACTAAACAAACTCATCAATTTCTCAATCGAAAGATACCTCCTGGTAACATTTTGTCATATTTCTCCTCATTTTTCGTGTGAATATATATTTTAAAATTCATTGAAATTATATTACATATATAATTTCTATGATATATATTCTACAGAAATTTAGAATAAAATTTCTTTCTGGTATGCAAATTTTAAATAGTACTATAGGTAAATACTCATTGTACAGTAATTATCCATAAAATAAAACATTTTTTGCTTTTGTTCTTTTTAATGAAACAAATTGAAAATATACAATTTGTCTATTTTATTTTATTTTATTTTATTTATTTCATTTTAGTTTTTAAGTTTATTTATTTATTTTGACAGAGTGCACATGCACCCATGAGCTGGAGAGGGGCAGAGGGAGAGGATTCTTATGCAGTCTCCACTGGTCAGCCCAGAGCCCACTGTGGGGCTCCATCTCACAACCATGAGATCATGAGCCAAAATTGAGCCAAAATTGAGAGTTGGACATGTAACCAACTGAGCCAAAATTGAGAGTTGGACATGTAACCAACTGAGCCACTGTGGAGCCCCAAGCCTCTTCTGTTTTAGTCCAATGCATATTCATTGAGAAATCCAAGATACTGTGATAAACTTTTAGGGGATAGAAAACCAAACATTAATAATAATACATCATTTGCCCTCAAAGGCATATATGTAGGTATATACACAACTAACTGGCTGATGATAAAATGGACACAAAATAAATTTCTAAGTGATCATGGACCATAGCTACCATAGCTCCAATTGGAGAGCTTATAGGGAAGAGTCAATTTAGTTGGATCTTGGAATATTGGCTAAGATTTCGCCCAGCAGATGGATGATGGTAATGGGTGATGGTTGAAAGAGGGGTGTTGCGGAATGGAGTAAGAACATTTAGGATGGAACAGCATGAACAAAAGCAAGAAGTGGAAAAAAAAAAAGCAAAAGTGTGTTTAGGTAACTAGGAGTTGTCTTTAATAGTGGGAGAAAATATTGGTCAATTAAATCTCAGAATGAATTTGAATACCAGAGTGAATTTAATCTTTAAACTGTAGGCAGAGGAGAACCACAGATACTTCTGAGCAGTCCATAAAATGATGAAGTCTGTATCTTAAGAATATTATGTAAGACCTAAAATTCCTACACGGAATGATATATGGCCATTTGGGTGTAGGTAGGTGTTCAGGTAACTGTTTGGAAAATTTAGAAACTGTTTAGATATTTAGAAAAATATCTTTTTTTAAAAGTGTAAATTGTAGTTATGTTTTTTTCTCACTGCACCCCAAGAATACTTGTTTAGAACTCTTAGAAGAGCATAAGGGTGGCGACGGCGGGGAGGCAGGAGGGGGAAAGGCACCAGCCAGCAGCCGGGCCAGCGCTGCTCAAGTTTCACTTTTAGTCTGTGGGGTTTGCTCCACCGCCCCGCGCGAGCTTTCCCGGGATAAGTAGCATTAGCGGGCAGAGAAGAGCTGGGCGCTGCACGGGTGGAAATGACGGATGGGCCTCGGAAAAGAATGAGCACGGCTTCCCATCTTAGCTCCTACCACTATCCTGGAAGCTGCCAGAATTCTGGAATGTATTTCCCATCGAAAGTGTGAAAAAAATCAATGGACACCCCAGGAATGGAAGGTGGTTTGCAGACGTGTTACCTTGGAAGCAGGTTTGAACCAGAAAGCCTTCCTGTAGAACCATACCGTGGGCCACTCAACTGACCCTTGGGTAAACTCTAACTGCTGTACCCCCACACCATCCCTTATCAGCTTGAAGAAGCCAGTAAGGTCATCATCCCTGTTCCCTAATGGCAGTAAAGGTGGCCGAGGTGGGTCCCTGGATTCACCACAGCAGAGTGAAGCCAGCATCTCAAAACTGGGAGTTCATTCCTGGTCCGTCAAGGCTGTGCAAGCTGACTATACAGAAGAAGCAATCTGCAACTCCAGAGGCTCTGGGAGACTGCAGCCCTGCTTTAGTCACTCCGGAAGCTGACTAATCCACGCATGGCAAAAGCCTGAGGAGTCGATGGTCTGGTGGAACAAATAGACTGTCCATATTTTCTATATCTGTTTCCTTACTGTGATGCACTGTCACCCTTTGTCTCTCGCTGTTATTGTGATTCTTGCTCTACTTTTCACCACAGAATTGGCAGAGGCCACCCTGGCCAGCTGGGAGTGTGATGAGAGGTTTCTGATAGCACTCACCTTCCCTTTGTGGATAGGATGCTTCATTGGTGCCAACATGAAGAATCAATGGCCCTGGGAGGCTAGAGAATTAGTTCCCTGCAAGCCTTATAGTGGAACAGAATACCCCAGTCCTACTACTGGGGTTTGGCTCCACAAAAGCTCAATTATTGGGAAAAACTGTCTTGCCCAGTGGGGCAGAAAGTCTACCATCTCTGTTAGGAACTTGACATGCCTAGAGCGAAGATTTTATAACTCAACCACCTGGGAAACCCAATGGTGGGGGTCCCCAGAGCATCTTGAGCCAGATCCCCACCCCCTGCCTAACTTCTCTCGAGAGGCCTGGGACAATGTCCACACAGCTATCAAATGGCAGGCCACAGGTATATGTGTGTGGCCTATACTGTATATGTGGA